CTGATCTTAGATTATTTCACTTGATGGACAAGGTTATTGCATACGATAGTGCCATGTTCTTGTGGGATGACTAGTGTGGATCATTTCTAAGGATTTGGGTTAGTCAGACTCATCAAGACTTATATCATTCAACAATAACTCCAATTAATATAACTCAAAGATGCATGGCCTAGAAAAAGGATGAATTTTCTACAGAAGTAACAGTCGAGTTGAAGCATTTAAATAGACAAATGATATGGGCTATAATATATGAAATATATTATATATATTTTTATATGTATATGAAATGTATATGAAACATGTGATATGAGCAATACAGGTAAACACCCAACATGTGAAGCAAACAAAGCCTTGATACAATTGAAATCCAAGAAAGCAGCTCACAGATTTCTTTATTCTTATTTTTTTTAAAGTATTTCACCCCAAGCAAGGTGGGAGTGCCACTAGCATGCAAGGGGTTACAGAGAGTGGGAGCAAGAATAAAAAGGCATGATAGCAGAAAGGATGAAGAGAAGAATGGGGGGATTAAATCAAGGCATCTGAAGATGTCGATTGGCATTGCATTTGAATAATTGAAGATTATAGCTATCAAGGAAGCAAGTAAGAGGGAGTTCTACAAACAAGAAGTGCAAGACATGAAGCTATTGGAATAGAAGTGATGGCTATATTTAACAGTTTTGACAGTGAAAGGGTGGGACTGAGATGGTATTTATCAATCCACCCACGGGGATCGAATGTGGCACAAGGCCTTTTTAATGTGGGTATCTCTGAGCCCGTAGGCCCAGCCAAAAATAAATAACCATCCAAACCCGCCGAGGCGGGCCAGTTCTGTCAACCTCCCCCAACGAAACCCTACCCTTCGGCGGAGCTTCGTCCGGGTTCCTCTCTGCAAGCAGAGAGTTCAACAGATACCCGACCCAGCAGCTCACAAAGTGCAGATACTACACTTTGATCCTAGCCACTGGGCCGAGCGGGTAATACGTATACAGGTGGGACTGAGATGCGAGCCTAGTAGCATGCTTATATTCACGTAGTTTGGGAACCAGCGAAAGTAGCTCATCGGAGCTGTTACCGTGAACGTATTTGTAGAAAAGACAGAGAGAAGCGATGACACATCTGTGAGAAAGTGACTGTAGATGAGATGCCAGATGAAAGTTCTTACATATTCTGATGCTATATATGCCAGTCTGGAAGACAGATCTTCTCTGGTATGATTATTTTTTATTCAAGGTGAAAAGAAAATGACACTAGTCAGTTGACAATATAAAAGATTGAACAAGTTAATCAAAGTTCATTGGCATTGGAAACTGTATTGCATTGGGTGAGTCACTGGATTTTTAATCACTTCTTTGGTACAAGATATTTTGGACTGAACAGATTACCACTAGTTCAGTACTATACAAAAAATGCATCACTTTATAAAATTCAAGCATTGTTATTGACAAAAGATTATCAGTAGATATAGCAAGATTAAGAGAAATGATATCAGATGAGAAAGTGCTTTGGATGGATGGTAAACTGCATTTGACAAATTCTTTATCAAAGAGATGTGCTTCTACATTGAAATTGTCAGAAGTAGTTGAAACCTCAAAAATGAGAAATAGATAAATTAATTATTTTTCAACTTTATCAAAGGGATACTGCAATGTTGATATTTTGGTTACTTCTGTCTTGAGAGAAGGAGGGGTTAACTCTCCTTTGGGTAAGAGGAACTTCGAGAAAAAGATAGGCCACACATATTTGAATTGTTTCCCACGATGGATATGGAAAAACGAATGCTGATTGTTTCCTGTGTGCAAATTGCTAATCTCTGTATTATTTCTTAACACAGCAAAACACAATTAAATGATTGTAAAATATATAAAGAAATTTTTGAATAAAAATTCCCAGATAATTGCAAAGAATCATACATTAACCTTTAAATGAAAATTTTGTTTTTCATTTAAGTAAAATGTCTTCTGCGTTGTTCTTCATAAATTTTTTATTTAGTGGTTCAGTGTTAAGAAGCAGAAAGAAGTCATTAAACAAAGAAAAATGTTGAATTGATATGTAATATGCCTCCTATACCAGGTGTAACAGCAAACTTGTCCAATTGTTAGATTAAGCTTTAAACCGTTGTATCTTAGAAATGAATAAAGATATCTTACTGGAATTCTCCAAGGTTTTTATAACACTATTGGACTCTACTTTGAACTATAAAAATGTATTTATCTCTAAGTTGAAATGATGATCCCTTTTCCCGTTCTGATCTGTTGATCCAGTTTTCATCTCTACTGTTCTCTCTTTTTTAAACTTATTCAATGTTCATTGAAGCTTCTTGAATGGATTTTGAAGATGGAAGCCAGGATATGAATGTTAGTGGCATTAGTGAAGGACTGAATGATCTTTTTCCTCTCACCATTGCTCAGTTGGGAAGACAGTGGTTCTCACACAAAACAATTTTAGCCTGTTCTCTTTCTAACTGAATAACTCAAGAGATTCTTCAGTGGTTCTTATGAAAAATGGTGTCAAGATGGCTAAACGTCTTATCTGAAAACTAGAGAAAAAGCAACTCAATTTGTTTAGTAGTTTTTTTTAGAAATTAAACATTTTGTGGGATCGCCAATTATCCCATGCTGTTACAGGATTTGGACAATTTTGCTGTTACACCCAGTATATTATCCTAGCACCTTTAGTAATAGATTGGATATATAAGTCTTCCCTTGATGTCTGCAGACACATGGCTAATTTCACCATTACCATTAGCTTTTCATAAACCTAAGGGAAAAAGAATTTGTAATATGATTATATATAGGCAATATAATATGAATCAAAAGAGATAAACTTCATGCAAACACAAATTAAAAATTCTATTCAAAATATTTTGGATGGTTATAGTGAACAAAAGGATCATTTATTTTATGATGAGATATTTTTGGAAACAGCAGTTCATAAATATTGTCCAAGTATTTTGCCCAAGAGGTATACAAATTATCCTGGAACAAACCTCCTAATTATGGTCAGCCTAATGCAAGAAACAAACAAAAAGCCCAAATTCCTGTTAAAAGTAAATAGCGAAATTTGAGTGAAGCAAGAAAATTGATTCAGGCTAGTCTAGAACATGCAGGATTTGATTATAGCCTTTGTAAAGAAAACGAAAATAGTGTAATCTAAAAATAAAAGGAAAACACAAAGACAGTTATTTGATAAAATGTCTTCTGAGTTTCTCCCACTTGATAGACAGTGATTGTAAAATTTTAAATTTGATTTCTGGAGGTGTTGAGCTCGATAAATAATCTAGCAGTTCATTGAATGCATAGCAGAAAGTAGTCGATAAATATAGTAATGCTCATTATTGCCACAAGGGAGGTAATTTTGTTTAAAAAGCACGGGTCAGATATTATTAATGGATGTTTAATTTGAAATGCAGAATATTTTTGAATATAGTAAAAAAAATTCAAATGATTGAAAAAAAGAGATAGAAATTAGACAAAAAAATCGAAAGAAAGAAATAATTTAAAAAGAGAATATAAACATTCTGTGTTATTCTATTTGTAAAGCATTTTGCTATGTTATATTCATTCATTATCTGTATATATTTCTGAGATGAGGTATAGTAATTATTTACATTATTTACATTGTTCGGACTGTTGTCCTCATCTTTATTGTCATATTCACAATGTTTCAGCTGTTGTACACTCCAGTCTTCTTCAGGTGATTGAAATTTTGATTCTGAAACCTTAATTTCATCCACTGGGGTAGATTGTTTTAGTTCTATGTGCCATGCCTCTTTCAGATGTCTTCATTATATCCACTGCAGTAGCCAGATATTGAACTCGGGTCAAGTCCCTGAATCCAACCAACACTTTTATCCATTCAAGGACACATAGCCCAGTTGATAAAAGCATTTGTTAGATCTAGTAACTTGACCCAAAGAGTTGTGAGTTCAATACCTGATTACTGTAGTGATGAACAAAAAGTTGGAGAGTTGAGTTAAAGGGTGATAACGGAGACATGCAGAAGAGGCATGGTATGTAGAACTAGAACAATTGATCCTGATGGATGAAATAAAGGGATCAGTTCAAAATTTCTAATCACCTGAAAAAGGCCAGAGTATACAACAGTCAAAACATCATGAATATGGCAATAAAGATTAGGACAACAGTCTGAACAATATAGATAATGTAAATAGTTATATTCATTCATATATTTAATGGATATTTCTGTATAAGTAACTTTTTTAAAACCTTGGAAAGGGCCTGAAAAACTGTACAATGGGTTGACTCAACACTTGTGAATGAAACTGAATAAACGGACTTGTTCATCAATGGTTGTGCTAACATGAAATAGCAAGTCATCGTGACTGAGTTTTTGAATGTACTAGCCTTGTTCTAACTGTTGATTATGCTAGATGATGCACACTCTCTAAGAAACTGTGACTAGTTGTAGTATAAATTACAGGTTGGCTGTGAGGGTGGTGAACAAACACCAATGTGTCTGATCAGGTGTCTGCAACAGGGATTGACTTACCACCCTAGCAGACAGGCATACTCAGATATGAGCAGCCAGCCATTAATGTTTTGCTTTCCCAGGCCATCTCAGTTTGCCTTTTATTTTGGCTGAGTGTTTTGCTGATGAAATCCAAATTGTTTCATTTTTTAGGACATTTATGAATGCTTTTTCTTTTTTTTATTTCTGGATATGGCTGTCGATAATTATTTTCTTTTTATAACTTCAAATGTTTGATGAAGATAAACAAGAGAAAGGTGAAAAAACACAGAACAGAAAACAACATTTAAGACACGTGTTTAAGGATGATAGTAGTGATTTAAACAAAGTAATTTTCTATGATTAGAGGCAATGAAAGCAGTGAGATTTGATAAGTCTGGAACTGAACAATAGAAAAGAGAAAAAAAATGAGTTTTTAAATCAAAACTTTTTCTTCTCGTCTTTTCTGCTGATTTATTATTACAAAATACTTTCCACATTTTATTATTTCCAAGTTTCTTCTCTATGTGTCTTATGGCCACATCACATTGGAACACTGGTTCCCCTACAACCACTGAAATTAAGCAACATTGAGTCTGGTCAGTATCTAGATGGGTGACTGCTTTGGAATTCTAGGTGCTGTAAGCTTGGATGTGCAGGTGGTATAATGGATAATGAATCAGAATTGTTAATCAGAGAGCTGAATTCCAATTCTAGTTGGGTTTGTTATATTCACTTACACAAAAATACTCTCAGGAAATGTATGAATCCACCACTTCTCCCCATAGCTATGGGTTAATTAATAAGACTTGTATCATTAAACTATTATTATCTCTAAAAATTAAAAAAAATTGTGTACTAAAAATATTTAGATTTCAGCATTAAAATAATGCATAGAGGTCAATACGCCACTAAAGAAAAACGACCAAATTGAACTCACAATTACTGTCACCAAACCTAATGCTGTAATCCACAATCATTTCACCCCCACCCCCCAGACAAAGTGATAATGTCATTAAGATGCAAGGGTCTACTGGGAGTGAAAGAGAATGAGAAGAATTAAGGACAATAAAAAAACAAGATTCAGGAAGATAGAAGTTGCCAATTGGTTTTGCATTTAATTTATGATGATCTTAGGTGACAAGAAAGTTCAATAAATTTCACATTAACAATCAGAAATAATTTAATTTAATTTTGCTTAAACCAAATAAACCATTTACATAAAGAAAAAGTAGTATGAATAAATACTAATGCATACATAATATTATTTCTGTATGAATTTCTATAATGAATCTAAGATTCATCTATGTATTGTCTAGTGTTTCTGATATATATCTTGAGATTCTTGAAGAAAACAAGTTTGTAATATTATTGATCCTAACCTGGCATCTTAACTTCCGTCACTTTCCTACCACTGTTATGTAGCTTCCCTATTCTTTTTTCTATAACTATTTTCATTGCAATTGTTCTAATGAGTTTTCCTCTTTGGTACCCTGAATGCATGAATTTAAGCATAGCACTAGATTGGCGAGCAGGTCTCATCAATTTACTTTTGAAATAGCTAGATTTAACTCTGTGTTTTATTCTAATATTTTTTTCTCTTGCACTTCTCACCTGTGGAACTCACTTCTGGCTTTTTTGCTTTCCTTTCAATGCTGATCTTTAAAAATTTAAATGCAACACCAATCTCTGTCTTCTGTCTTTCTGAATCCTGTTCTTTTATTGTCTTTCCTTCTCCTTTCCAATTTTCTTTTCCTTGTGTCTTAGTGGCATTATTGCCTTGTTTGGCGTGAAATGATAAAAAAAAGAATTATGACCATTGTGCCCTCAAGACTTTATTAAAGTGTTTCTCAATCTGAAACCATGATATTAACCAAAAAATAACCTTGTGGATTACAGCCTTAGTTTGTGAATTTGATGACAGTAATTGTGAGTTCAATCTCTGGGTCAGACTGTGGAAACAGAATGAGTAGTACTAAATATGAACAAGACATGGGCAGCATAACAAATAAAAATCATCCCCATAGATTAAATAAAGTATTCTGTTCAGTTCCCTGACATTTACTTGGAGAGTTGGACACCTGAAGAAAGCAGGTGAGTACAAAAGACCAAAGAATTTTGATAACAACAACAAAGATAAGGAGACTTGTCATTCTCATAGATTAAATAAAAAAGAAGATATTACAGAAAAATTCCATTTTTGGTCTATTCTGACTTTTGTAAAGATAAAGCATGGCAGAAGTCAGGTACTTTCTGGGGGGTACAAGTCAGGTAGTTTCTGGGGTGGTACAAGTCAGTTACTTTCTGGGGTGGTACAAGTCAGTTACTTTCTGGGGTGGTACAAGTCAGGTACTTTCTGGGTGGTACAAGTCAGGTACTTTCTGGGGTGATACAAGTCAGGTAGTTTCTGGGGTGGTACAAGTCAGCTACTTTCTGGGGTGGTACAAGTCAGTTACTTTCTGGGGTGGTACAAGTCAGGTACTTTCTGGGTGGTACAAGTCAGGTACTTTCTGGGGTGATACAAGTCAGGTAGTTTCTGGGGTGGTACAAGTCAGCTACTTTCTGGGGTGGTACAAGTCAGCTACTTTCTGGGGTGGTACAAGTCAGTTACTTTCTGGGGTGGTACAAGTCAGGTACTTTCTGGGTGGTACAAGTCAGGTACTTTCTGGGGTGATACAAGTCAGGTAGTTTCTGGGGTGGTACAAGTCAGCTAGTTTCTGGGGTGGTACAAGTCAGCTACTTTCTGGGGTGGTACAAGTCAGTTACTTTCTGGGGTGGTACAAGTCAGGTACTTTCTGGGTGGTACAAGTCAGGTACTTTCTGGGGTGATACAAGTCAGGTAGTTTCTGGGGTGGTACAAGTCAGGTACTTTCTGGGGTGGTACAAGTCAGGTGGTACAAGTCAGTTACTTGGGGTGGTACAAGTCAGGTACTTTCTGTGTGGTACAAGTCAGGTACTTTCTGGGGTGATACAAGTCAGGTAGTTTCTGGGGTGGTACAAGTCAGCTACTTTCTGGGGTGGTACAAGTCAGCTACTTTCTGGGGTGGTACAAGTCAGCTACTTTCTGGGGTGGTACAAGTCAGTTACTTTCTGGGGTGGTACAAGTCAGTTACTTCCTTGGTTGATGAAACGAGCTGACTATTTTTTCTAGCCTCTTTAGCAATAGATCATATATTCATGTTTCTTCTTATCCCTCACAAAAAAAAACCAAATTTATGAATATAAACTCAGGAAGAAACAATATCAATAGAGTTAAATAGGAATGAGAATGTAAGGAATTTCTACAAGAGATAATAGCAAACTTACTTCTGTTCAATGTCACTAAATTTTAAAGGAGAAATGCATCATGCTGGAGATAACATTTTACTTTCTACGGATGTTGATTCATATTTTTAAACCATTAATCTTTCATGAAGGAAAATTGTTTGATTTACCTTTACACAGCTTTCTCAAGTGAAATAAATTTATTCAATCAGAAAGGTTGCCAAATCTGATGATATCAAAACAAAGTGGTTCTCTTAAAAAAAAGGTGAAAAAGTTGTCAACATCCCATTTTTACTATTGGTTTTCAATTATCTATTTCCAGAAGAAAGAATTTTTTTTATATCATGAGTGAAAAACAAAATAAAAAAGCAATTGTTGTATTGAGCTAAATCAATTAGACAATGACAGCATTTTCTATTGATGTGATTTAAATTGGTAGGTAAACTCAATGGCTGTCTGGTAACCATGAAATAAAATAAAATTAACTGGCAAAAATAAAGAAAATAGTCAAGAAAATTGGATGCTGTTGTTTCACTGCTTCATAGTTTTTGAAATAAGCCGTTGATACACATTCCTTGAAATTCCCAATACAACCAAAGATAATTTTTAATACTGAACAATAGATTTCCTCATTTCCTCTTTTCTTTATGGAGTTTTCTTTTTTTTGTCATGCTCCTTCAGGACATTAATGATAATGGCTCTCCACAATTTCTCATCCTTTGTAGCTCTTAATAAATTTTATCTTTTTACTATTTCTCCTAAACTCTGTTCTGCCATCAATTAGGTAAATAATTAGGTATGTTATGCACTGTTTTTTTCTATCACTCTTGTCTTCAATATATCCTGTTAGTGTCAAATTTTCTAAGCTCACTTTCCTCATTATGTGTCCTAGAAATTGTAATAGTCTCTTTCTGGTATTAACTATAAGTGTCCTTTTTGTTTCCATTTTCTCAAAAATTTTGTCATTGCTTAGATGTACCGTCAATTTTGTTCTCAGCATCCTTCTGTAGAACCATATTCTGTTGCAGCAAGTTATTTTTTTTCATCTTTAAGGAGATTGGTCAGCATTCATTGCCATATAGGAGGATTGATATTACATAACAGTTCAGTACACTTTGCTTCATTTCTAAGTAAATTTTCCTGTTCCTTATTACTTTGCTTAATTTTTAGAAGGCAACTTTCACTATCCCTTTGCACTTTCAGATTTCCATATTGCTCTTCCCATTCTCTGTTAAAACATTTCCAAAATATTTAAATTGTTGTACATGCTTGCTTTTGGTATCTTCAATTTTTAATTGGTATGTTGGTCTGTTCTGTGAAGAAAGCAACGGGAAACCACTCCCCATCATTACCAAGAAACTGCATTTTTAGAAAATCAAAGATTAAAATTGTTCTGAAAAATCAATGATTAAAATTGTTCTGAAAAGACCACAAAATATTCTTGTACAATTATGTGCCATGTTCCTTCAGAATATGGGCATCATGGCTCATCACAGCTTCCTATTTTCTGTACCTTTATTGAGTAATATTCTTACATACCTTCATCAGATAGAGACTGTCAAATGGATGTCAGGCATGATGCTAAACTCATTTATAAATATCTAAACTATCAACTGTATATAAACACCTTCTCAGATCAATGGATGAAAATGGCTTTGAGTTAATGAAGCCTGTTGGTCTTAGTGAGGACCATCCTTCTTTAAACCTCATGCATTGGTGCTACAGAATTACAAACAAAGAATTGTACCAAATAACAGAAACCAATTTCACTTGAGGACTTTCAATGGCAGCAACAACTAAAATAATTAACAGATGTAACTCAAAGAAAAAAAAATAACATAATCAGGATGTTCACATTCTACACTAGCTTAAAGAAAATATTGGAAAGAAAGCCCTCATCAATACTGGAAAAATAAATAAAAGTTGATTTGCTAAACCTGTCGTGTCTCAGTCAACAAATGTCAAATGTTTCCTCATAAGGAAATGACTAATATTACCATTAACATATACCATTTCTACATTCTTTCCTTGGAAACAATAAATGGTGGTGAAGAATACATAATTTCAGTCAGTTCATTTACATGTAGCTATCTTACATTAAGCAAGTTATTTGACATCAGGAGAAACTCATTTTAGGGCTCAACTGAAATTCCCATTCCGATCTCGTTATAATAGAGGATCTTTTCAATCAAGAAATGATTTATTTTTATTTCCAAACAAAAGCATGAAATTAAGGGAAAGTTTCCAGTTTTCAATGTGTTCATGCAGTATGAACATGTCAAGTTTCTTTTCAATTTGCTTCAAATTGTTGAAATTAAAAGCTTTAATTTTGGAGTCATTTCTCAAATGATTTGCTGAGGATTCTCTTCTATTAACTCTTGC